CTACACAGAGTAAATAAAATAGTTTCAAATATTAAAGCACAAAACTATGAACTTACTTCAAGCTCTATTAGTCTTGCGGATGCTGCGGGTATTTGTACCTCGCGACCTTGTGAGAACTGTTCCCCATTCTCTCGTCTTCCTTCTACTGCCACATACAACGTGTATGCCCTGGAGCCTCCCGCTATAGCAACACTGTATGAACTAAATGGCCGCAATATTTGTGGCCCCACAACCGATATACTGAAATTTTAACAAATTTTTACTGGTGGTAGGACCTCTTGTGAGTCCGCGCGGGTGGGTACCACCACCCTGCCTATTTCTGCCGTGAAGCAGCAATGCGTTTCGGTTTGAACAGTGGGGCAGCCGTTGTAACTATACTTGTGACCTTAGAACTTGTATCTCAAGGTGGGTGGCGCATTTACGTTATGAATGTCTATGGGCTCCAGTAACCACTTAACACCAGGTGGGCTGTGAGCTCGTCCACCCATCAAAGCAATAAAAAAATAAATAAGAAAATTAAACAAAATTAAAAAAATTACATGTTAATTTGAAAATTGTAGAAGATGACATACCATTGCGTTAAAGCTGGCACGCTTAAAATGAACAGGAGTAGAGTCTTGATTTTTTCAATCATGACTATGAATTCTGGAAACATAAAATACAGGCTTGTGAAAATGTCATCTGTAAACGATTGAACACAACTAATAAATGCATTCGAATGGTTTTAACTTACTAACTATTAAAAACTAGTATTCACTATATAGATCCATTATTGGTCGAATTTCGATCATTGTCGCTGACACCTCAAGTTTTAGTTTTATTTTCATTTTTGTTATATTATTGTCATTTTTCTTGTAAGGTTGAAAATACACGGTTTCTTAATTGCTTAAGTTATAACACTTTAATTTAATAGCTACGTAAAATCGTTTGATAAACGGAGTAGAAAGAGCTACTAAATAAAAGATACTAAATATTTTTGTCTTTGTCTCTGAAAAAAATTGATCGGACTAAAACTTTTTTGTTGCCACTGTAGGTAGAAAAGCATGTGCCCACCTGGCGATGAGTGGTCACCATCGCTCACGGACGTCAGAAAGACCAGTGGTGTGTTCCTGTCTACTGCTTAGAACTGATGATAGGACCTCTTGTGAGTCCGCACGGGTAGGTACCACCGCCAGGCCTATTTCTGCCTTGAAGCAGTAATGCGTTTCGGTTTGAAGGGTCAGACAGCCGTTGTGACTATACTGAGACCTTAGAACTATATCTCAAGATGTGTGGCGCATTTACGTTGTAGATGTCTATGGGCTCCAGTAACCACTTAACACCAGGTGGGCTGTGAGCTCGTCCACACATCTAAGCAATAAAAAAAAAAACTTTTATCAAGGCTCGTTTGAATAAGGATATCTTATAGCGCTCAGAAAACACCATCGTGGGAAGTTCATTTCACAGCGCGGTAGTAAGTAGAAAAAAAGCACTGTCGATGACTGTTGTGGTTCTATATAAAATAATTGTGTAAAATAATTTCGATCGTGAGAGGTGCGATGGTAAAAAGAAGATAGATGAAGATATCACCTCAAACAATTCCTCTAAGCACTCCTGATAAAACATAAGGAAAAAAATATAGAGAAAATCGAAGTCCTTCTATGAAACTAGAAGTTTCAAGCGATTCGTGACTCACTTGTACTTAACATTGATGACATGAGATTGTATAAAAAATCACGATAAAAAAGTTCCGTATGGAATGCTGCATACAATGGAATGTAATACATCCAAAATCACTGACTTCGCTTTAGATTGCCGGTTCACGAAATGTGAACTTATTATAAATAAAGGCGTATACCAACCACGTGGGTACGTCAAAGCTATAGATCAGGCGAGTCTGCTAATTTAAAGTTATATTATAGTATTACATTTAAATGCAAAGATTAGTAAAGTGCAAATGTGATTTCTTAGGACGACCGTGTCAGGAAACGGCTGCATTATCACCGGTTAAATCTTAACATTAAACTGGTTTTAATCTTTATTTCACTCGTTCGATTTTATTTTTTACTAGCGACCCGCCCTCGCTTCGCTTCGGAAACATTAAAACACACATGAAACCAAAAAAAAAATAAAAAAAAAATGAAAAAAAAGTAGCCTATGTTCATCAGGGACAATGTCGGCTTCTAATGGAAAAAGAATTTTTCAAATCGGTCCAGTAGTTTCGGAGCCTATTCGAAACAAACAAACAAACAAATCTTTCCTCTTTATAATATTAGTATAGACTAATAAAATGTACTGCAAAACATTCATTCATTTAGTAAGTTTTCATTGAAAAGCCTTCGCGTGGTCATGCTCTGAATATCGGTGAATGCATCCTATATTTTGTAAGTTGCAGCCCAGTAGACAACGTCTAAAGATCAATTTAAATAACATTTTTTCTCTATTTTCATAGGGTATGCAATGGTATATAATGCTCTCGGGACTGAGTCTGTTATTATATTATACTTATATTCAAATATAGATAAAATTGTAACTGTAAAATTCTGTTACTTGGATTGACTTTTAAAAGCTACGTTGAAACTTTAGTTTAAAAATTACTTAACACGAAAAACACAATAACATCGAGAAATATAATCAACACATTAAGTTGCAGGTAGACACAATCTGTAATGTTAATTGTCATATGTTCTCAACTTACTAATAAATTCAAATGTATGTTCAATGACATGTAAATCAAAATTTCTTTGAAAAAATTCGAATGTGTAACACCCAGATATTGATTCTCACAATTCTATTGTCAATAAACAATCGTGTTGGATTTATTACTAATGTATTGAATTCATATGTTGACTGAGCTCAGTGTCCTTGCGGCCCAGTATGTGTGACTCAGTATATGTCAACATTTGCATGGGCGGAACAGCCTTCCTCAACTTCGAATGAAATAAATTTAAATATGATTGACTTAGTATTTTCTAGGGCTTTTAAGAGCTTCAAGTAAATGTTTTAAAATACAGATGTCCCATACAAAAATTAATTAAAGTAGGCATTATATCATATTGTATCTTTGATAGGTAGGCGGCGTCATACTCGTAGTATTACAGATTCCGGTAACACCTTAACGTCATGTGAGACCTAAGCTCGCTTAACCTTTTGTGCTAATAAAAATATTGTAAAATGAACACCGATTTTGCCGTGAAAGTGTTTTAATTATATGAAACCTTTTTATTGGAAGTTGGTATATCCTTCAATTTTGCATTGCAATTGAAACAATATTAATAAGTCGTAAGTTTCTACTTGGTACAAAGAGTATGTAGATTGGGAAATGGGAACTTTCTCTCTAAAGTAAATGTCTGTCTTCTGAGCAAATGCACAACCTGTGTTTACCTCCACCGCAACAAAACAATCACTTGTAATACTCAGCAAGAGCGAATCATCTCGTACACTCTTTACTATCAATTGTTTTGATGTTGACGAATAGTTACTTGTTTTACCCAATACTATCCGTCTTAATTTATTTTATAATGATACGTCTGCTTGATTCAATTATGATCAAGTTTTGAAATTTAAAAATAGAGATTACGTAGCTTCACATAGCTTCAGCGTAATTTAGCGTAGGCTCACCTCTCTGAAAATGTATTGCACAGTAACACTTAACTGATATTTAACACATGAAACTTAACACTATAGTATCACAGATCGTTTCATTCGAATGCACATAGTTCGCAATAAATCAAGGGGGCGCGACAGAACCGGCCGCGGTGCTATGTTACAACTGACTAGTGCCTACCTGTGTTGCGAGTGACGAAGCGCCCACGCAGGCCGCAGGTGGGGCGCCGAGAAGCCTTGCGAAAATCCACCGATTCAATTCCGTATATACCGCACATACAACTGCACTTGCCTATTTGTAATACTAGGTACCACATTAATCCAGTGCAGCAGACGTCTCTCAATAATTGTTTGATTAAGCCCTAATATCATCAAGGTATGGCAGTTAACACCTCGCAAGTCAAAGGATGACCTGGTTGTATTTTAACTTTTCTGACCTCAACATGGGACAGTTTAAGAGCTCTAACTATACTGTACCTTAATTCCGTATTTCAATTTCCATATTTATATTTCAAACTACGTCAATCTTTGGAATGAATTACGTTGAGAGCCTGTTTTTTACGATATTCGCCTTATAAGTTGTTTAAAAATATTATGATATAAATTACCAATATGTTAGAGTGTAAAGAGTTTATATTCGGTGTCCCGGCAAATATGGCTAAACATCAACATTAATTTTGGAGCTTAAAGTTTGGTTTAGATTTATAGATGGTGGATTCGCGATATCTGTTGCGAAGCTAACGTGCATTCCTGGGAACCAGTTTAACAAACCATTTACGTCAAGTCGTTGATCATAAACAAGACTAACAACTCTAAAATGTATATCGTTATAAGTTTGATTTTAAAATTGAATGAAACTTACACTATTGTCATCATCAACATCATCATCAGAAAGATGAATAAAAATTTCCAATTTCCAAATTAACTTTTAGAATATTTAAATATAATTGGTACAGATTTTTCTATTCGTTTTGTCTCCTTTTAGATTTGCAACAAGGCGGCTTGTAAACCAGTTCTTACTTTGAAAAAGCGTACGACCCATACACGTAACTCCCACGGCATTGTTTTTTAATGGACCTCATACCATATAAATCCGTACACCTCTATTGCGTTGTTTGATGTTCGCTTGGGGAATGTTTATGTTTATGGCTAAAATAATAAAATGCACCTCCATCAGTTTTGTTGAATTTTTATTTAAAGAGCTACACTTTATTGCCACCGTGAGTATAGGAACTACTAATCTGTGTGCTTAGTGCGAGTTTTTTAACGTTCTCGATAGCGTAAAAGTTAGCTCATATTTGTATGGAATGGGATCGTTTGCCTATGTTTGCCGCTAGGGGCGCTGTTCCAACTGCATACAAAGTTGGATTAACTTTTACGCTATCGAGAACGTTAAAAAACTCGCACTAAGCACACTAATCAGCCAAGAATGTATCTATTGGACAAATGTTTGTACAATTATTAGCTGTTGGAGGTGACAGACTGAGTTTAGTTGGAGAGTCGTTATTGTCACTTGCGTGCACTTTTGCAGCCAATACTGCGTTATCAGCCAGAGCTGCGGCCAACGCTTTCTCCAACTTTTCAGTTCCGGCTCGTTCAGTTTCTAAAGCATCACGCAGCTGTTGAACACTTTCCTCATCTGAGACGAGCGCCTTAGAGAGTATCCTATCTTTGGAATCTGATAATCGAAATTGCATTTCTGCAACGAGCGCCTTCAACTTGTTTATTTCGGCTGAAACAGCAATTAGGAATGTGTGATATTTAGGTATTCATGTAAGTCAATTATTATTATTATTAATACTTTATTTCAGTTTTTTTTAAAACCATAACATTTTGTTAGTAGTAATTACTTATATCTATGTTAGTAACTTAACAAATCTAAAAAAAAAAATATATATTATATAATTATACAAATTAAGGACTAACTAGTGGTCCCGCAGTAGTTGAAATTCAACTATAATTAATTGAAATTATAAGTTTGTACACTATTATGATTCTATTGTCAAATACTATTTATTATACTTCTATAATCGCAGATTTCGCCAAGACTCCACTATAGATAAATAATACTAAAGACAAACAATATTAAACTATTCTCAATTTGACCAGAGACTTTATGCAATTTTAATATTCTGCACTCCTTCTCTGTAGTCTCTATAGGTGTGGGAAATTTCTTACTCCTCTGTCCGCGCAATTTTCGTAAAAAGGGGTACAAAGTTTTTGCTTTACGTATTAATATATACGATACATTATTTTCCTACCTAAGCTGATAGCCTTGAGAGGCTGTTTCAGCGTAACCTTAACTAGTAGGTGAGCTCACAGGGCTCAAACCTGATGACGTTGCTGACACGAACCCTAGCAAGAGCCGTGCTTCGCAGAATCTACCACCGGATCGGAAACGCGACTCACTGAGAAGATCCGGCGAGAAACTCAGTGGGCTGTATAGATACCGTTCGCAGCGCTAAGTTCCCGCGAGGTGTGCTGCAGCTCGGCGGCTGCTAAACGTTTTTCCCGAGCGTGCGCTGCAGCGGCCAGCCGCGCTCGGTCACGTATCTCTGAGCCCCCGGCAGCGCATCTTTCTACTCGACGTAATTCGCATTCCAACTGACTAGCTTCTCTAAAATATATTTTTGACAGTCGAGTGATTGTTTTTTTTTAATTTTTTTTATTGCTTAGATGGGTAGACGAGCCCATTGCACCTACAACGTAAATGCGCCACCCACCTAGAGATATAAGTTCTAAGTTCTCAGTATAGTTACAATGGCTATCCCACCCTCCAAACCGAAACGCATAACTGCTTCACGGTAGAAATAGGCAGGGTGGTGGTACCTACCCGTGTGGACTCACAAGAGGTCCTACCACCAGTATTCACGCAAATTATAATTTTGCGGGTTTGATTTTTATTACACGATGTTATTCCTTGACCGTGGAAGTCAATCGTGAACATTTGTGAAGTACGTATTTCATTAGAAAAATTGGTACCCGCCTGCGGGATTCGAACACCGTTGCATCGCTAGATACGAATGCAACGGAAGTCTTATCCTTTAGGCCACGACGACTTCTAAAATATCTAAATCTTCTGATTTCGAATGACATAGTAATTACCGTCTTAATGAACGATATAATCAATGTTAAATATTTTTTAGATGCGATGCTCACCGCTTTGGGTACACAGAGTCGGCTAGATGCTGATGTAAGCTATATCTATCGAACTATCGAAGCAATCATAATCAGCTTACAAATATCTACTGCTGGACATAGGCCTCTGCTAAGGTTCGGGTAATGCCTGGTCCTGCGTTGCCCGTATACATTCGATAGTGGATTCACACAACTTCAACAGGTCGTCGATTAGCCTTGTGCGAAGCCTACCCACGTTGCTTCTTTCAATGTTAACAGATAGAGTCTAATACAGACCAAGAATTATAATATTTATAATCTAATAAGTAAACGCTTATTTAAAAAGGGCTTTTTAAATTTTCCTTAGCTACGATTGGCAGAATACTTGATATGAAGCGGTCCTTGGGCCCTAATGAGGTACCAATCCTGATAGATTAAAACTGACAAAGAAGTAGTCTGAATAAGTCGCGGTTGGAAACCTGTATCTTCTCTATTATAATTAAATTTCTCTTGGACTTCAAGACAGATTTTTAATGCAGTTTATGAATAATTATCATTCAGTTTTCATTAACAAACACAGTGACGACTTGGCACCTTCGAGCATCCTCCGTGGCGGTGCCAATCCTTTCATGCAACTCCGTGAATTGCCTTTGTAAAGTGACATGCGAAGTCTGTAATGGTCGCAGCTCTTGGATTTCACGCTCTAAGGAGTTTAATTGTGCGAGCAATTCAGCATGCCGTTCTTCTTGAAGCTTTCGTTGACGGTCCTGTATTGCATTTGTCACATTCAATGGTCTTAAATTTAATAATGAATATACAAGAAAGAGCCCCTACCCAATCAGATGGTTCTTTTTTTTTATTGCTTAGATGTGTAGACGGGCGCACAGCCCACCTGGTGTTAAGTGGTTACTGGATAGACATCTACAACGTAAATGCGCCCCCCACCTTAAGATATAAGTTCTAAGGTCTCAGTATAGTTACAACGGCTGCCCTACCCTTCAAACCGAAACGCATTACTGCTTTACGGCAGAGATAAGCAGGGCAGTGGTACCTACCCGTGCGGACTCAACAGGTCCTACCACCAGTAAAAATACTATTATAAACTAATAAAAACTAACTAATATAACTGTTTTTCTAGACATTCACCGATAGTTCTAGTTTGAGTTTGAAGCTGGCAAGCTGTTCGTGTACAGCAGCGAGCTCGGTCGCAGCTTGCGTGGCTCCAGCAGTAGCTGCAGCGGCGCTGTTCCGAGCTTCTACAGCCGCGCGCTCGGCCGCATCTCGAGCTGCCTCGGCAGATTCTGCCCTCGTGCATTCCGTGCGGATTGCTTCACGGAGACGAGCCTCTGATGACTATTCCAATAGGTTTTTTTTTTATGGCCCTGTAGGCAGACGAGCACACGGCCCACCTGATGGTGAGTGGTGACCATCGCCCATGGACTTCAGCGATGCCAGCGGCAGAGCCAAGCCGCTGCCTACCGCAAAACAAGGCAGGTTTGTTGTTGCAGGTCAACGGCAACGCAATTATTGTCAACTGCGTTTCGGCTTGAAGGGTGGAGCAGCCGTTGTAACTATACTCGAGACTTTAGAACTTATACCTTAAGGTGGGTGGCGCATTTATATCATAGATCTATGGGCTCCAGTAAACACTTAACACCCGGTGGTGAGCTCGTCCACCCATCTAAGTAATAAAAAAAAAACTTGGAACTTTTTCGAGCACGTTACGCGAACGTTTACTAATTTAAAAAAGTTGAAACAATTCGGCTAAACAGACTAGTGTGTGTTATTATAATATGAAACTGTTAGGCACTTCTTTACTACGGATATGCAATTATTTTTTTTAGATTACTACCTTTTATTTACTATGAAATTCAAAGTGGTACAAACTATTTTATAATTTTGATTGCAATATCAGGTCCTCGTGAGCTGTTAAGAATATTATGTCACTATTAATAAGGAATAAACTAACATGGATAGTACGAAATTCTCCCATGAGTTCAAGAAATTGTTGTTCTAAAGATTCGAATTCAGCAGCACTTGCCCCCATTTTTTAACCAATTTTGTTTTTTCGTACTTTTTTAATTGTTTTAGTTAATAATTATGTATTATGTATAAATTAAAATCATAAAATTGTATATATGTGCACGTTACGTTATAAATACAATTTAGCAAAAAGGCGGGAAATAAATTTCGACTTATTAAAACATTTCATGTAAAGGATTATACTTGTCATACAGCCAGCAAACATAACTTCAAGGTTTTTTTTTTTTAACTGTATATGTTCTTTCTCGTTTATATAGAGTATTTTTATGATAATACAGAAAATGAAAAATTGTAATCAATCAATAATTATTTTATTATAATAACATTACCAACACCTACAAGTTGCTTCAAAGAAAATAATTTATCAATACTAATAAGTTTTAGCATCAAACCGAAACAATCTGCAGGATTTTATCTGAAATATGTCAATTTTCATAGTGTTTAACGGGACCAGACAGCTTGTGAGGGGAATATTAAAGAAGAGGGAAGGTTGTTTTCTTAAGAAAAAAATTGGATGAAAGTATATAAAGAGTGTATTTTAGAAAATCGTTTCATTTTGTAGCAGTCCGCAGACCGAGTAAGAAGCTATACGTTACTATTGATTGTTATAATCCAGTATGACATTCGAGTATAACTACTGTTAGTAATATTTATTTCGTTTCAGAAGTGGTAGGCCTAAGGATGCGTATCGCAGCGGTCATGTTGTTAGCTGTGAGTGTTGCAGTAACTTTCTGCGTGTGTTGCTGCGATGGAGCTAATCTGCGCCGAGTTCAGCCTGACGACGATGAAGACTTACGACCGCATCCTCTGTACCGAGATTACGGACTGATTAGAAGCAGGGTTATCCGAGGAGATGATACTTTCGATGATTACGGGCACCTACGGTTCGGTCGTTCCGATGACTGACACGAACGCTCTGCGATCGGTCGGCATAAGAAAAGGCAACGATCGTCGGGCAAACTGTGTTACTAAACAGCGTATCGTTTTATTGACTGCACTTCTTTAGACTAGATTAATCTTATTGAACATGAAGTATTAATAAGGCTGGTAAATTTCATGTTCAATTATAAATCTATTCTAAAATCTTCTTAATTCTATAATCAAATAAACGTAACTAATTAAAATAAGCAGCAGCTATTAAATCGATGACAGCATTATAAATGGTTGTTTCATTACGTTATACAACTAAATACCCTTAATCTAGAACATTTTTATTGAAAACGTGCTTGTGTATATAGTATTTTAGGTTACTATCTGAATACAACTCCATAAAAGTCTTTAGCTCTTCTCTGTTCTATCTTTCTTTTTTGTCCCGTCGTCTTTAATTTTTCGTTTTCTTTTTCCGTTATCTTTTTTTTAGCTCTCTCCAATTAGGTTTAAATCGTTCCAATTACACGCGGGGGACTTTATCACCGTCATACATATTTAAAGTTTCATGAAGAAAAGGTAAAAACGACAAACAAAATAACAGGAATATTTTAACTTGCCTTACTTGAACAAGAAACCTTTCAGAAATTTAAACTGTTTGTTTTAGTTTTTTTTTTATGATTGAAGGATTACTGGTGGCCCGGAGGCCTTTTTCCAGTTTCACGAAGACAAGTGGGCGAGCAAAGGCTAAGCTAGGAGGGGTGGGATTTGCTAACAGCTACCCGAGCGCCTCCGAAAGAGACCTAACAACAAGAGCAACTGCTTCGCGAACGGATCAACTACCAGATCGGAATCGCGACCCGCTTCCGATATTGTTTTAGATCAATCCAATATTTTATGGAAATCACATATAGGTACATAATAAGGAAAATCTACAATAATATCTCAAAACACATATTTTATTATGAAGAAAAATGTAAACTAATATCTGCTGCTGAACATAGTATTACGCAGAGTACAAGCATTCCATAGTATCCATGCGAGCTGTTCTAGATGATTGTGGAGCACCCTTGGGGTGGTTCGTGCAATATAATCGTAATTTATCTGATTCCCCTATTTAAATAATCATTTGGCATAGTACATATTTTGTGAGTTCGTGCTCTTTAGGTTTGCGTAGCGTTTAGCCGATTAAGTTGAAATTTTGTACTCATTGCTAGGACTTTAGTCCAGGATTTGTCTAGTACCATCACCTAGCGTTTTGTATTTCGTTTCCAATTCATGTCAAAAACCTTTCGTTCCAAGCTTCCGAAAAATTTTGTCTCTAGCTCGTAAATTTACCATTGTGGATCGTATATTAGCGATTGTGTATCATTATCTCACTTAAATGCGTTGTGTTCATAAATGTGTTTCTGTCAAATGGGTAGGTAGTTTGATAGAAATATAGGTCGATTACAATAGGTCTTAATTAAAATCAATAGGTCGGTAGGCAGCGGCTTGGCTCTGCCCCTGGCATTGCTGAAGTCCATGGGCAACGGTAACCACTCACCATCAGGTGGGCCGTTTGCTCGTCTGCCTCCAAGGGCAATAAAAAAAAACAAAAACAAAATTAGACTTCCATCTTATAACTCAACATGGCGGCCTTCACTATTATATCTATGGTAACCATTTATAACAATACCATAGTACCTACACCTAAAGTGCAATCTTAAACAGTGAGACAGGCTTTTTGCTTGATTAATAAGTATGATTTTGATTGTCAGGTACCTATCAAATGTACACTATTTACTTACTTCATAAAATTAGGGAGTTCAATAAAACAAGCGGTTGTTTTAATATGTATATGTAATATTACAATAAATAAATTTTAAAACAGTTACGCAGTTAAATAATATGTAACTACTCGTAGTACAAAATTTATTTCTTTCGCTAATCGGGTGAGGTAATCGTGATATCTATGTTCTAAGTACATGCTGAACAATTAACATTTCTATATATTTAAAAAGAATTTTTCTGAAATGTTAGAAACAAATATAATATATTTTAAAGATATACGTATTACAAAAGCATTATTTGATTCTGTTAGCTTTTTTGAACTTTAAACTGTTCAAAATTTGTCTTAATTGTACTTTGTAATTACTTTTGTACATACAGCTTTCACAACAATATTAATAAACATGAAAATTTATTATGAATTGTACTATATTTATTGTAAAGTTCGTTGTACTGGTAATAATCATCAAACATGTGGCGACATCTGTGCTCTGCACAGAGAACTACTAGAGTGTTCTGTATCGCGCTAATGATATTTATCGCTAAGTTCACTTCACTTAGAGGCAACACTGGCAGATCTTCCAAGAATGTAGTTAACTATATCAATATATTTACTTACTCTAATACAGCACAATTAACATGTTTATTGGATTACAATATTCATATATTATTAGGCACATATAATATCACTACGTCTATATTAAATTAATATGAGACTAGTTAGTTGCTCGCCTAATTCTAAGATTATATTAATATGATGTAGTATTAATTATAATTATATTAAAACGTAACATCGTTAATTGTACTTGGTGAAAACGAAGCGTATTTGAAAATGATAATCTTTGAAATGTTGCATTAAAAACGTTTAAAGCATAAATACATCGTTACTATGTACTTAAATACAACAAGTTAATTTATATGAACTTAGATAAATATAATAGATTAAGTTTGATTACAACAAGTTTTTTGTTATTTAATAAACAACGGTAGCTTTTTTGATTTTTCTCTCGAACGAAATTAAATTTTTAGAGTACTAAGAAATTTTCATTATAGAATGTCCCTCTTCTGAACATTTCCCAGCAGAGCCTGAAAGTATTAAATGTCGCATTTAAAATTATATTAGTTCACACGTCGTTCAATTTTATTCAACGATAATGTCGAGGGATGAATAGCTATTTGGTTGAAGCAACATATTTGCAACTTTACAGATGGCTGTTGAAAGTATAAAATTTGGAGAAAATATTTTATTATGACAATAAAACTCGTTCAGATACTTGAATAGAATAAGCTTAAATGAAATTCAATTAAAAAACATCGAACTGTTGATGGTAATACCAAATAAAACGCACCTTTAATTACAAAGATAAATGTCGCGTATTAAGCGAAATCTCGCTTAAACAAACTTGCCTTTCATCCCTCATTCGTTCTTATTGATTTAGTTAAGAGATGACCGGAATCTATAACCTAACGCGTCACCACTTGCTTCGATGCGAGGCCAAAGTTTAAATTGTGTATGTAGCACAATATCTATACCACCTTTCCAGCCGGAACGTAGACTTTACGGCACATATAGGCAGCATTACGGTTAAATCAGTATCAAAAGACGCCCTAACTAATTGAATTATAAGACAATAAGACAAAAGAAATATAATATAAACATTGTTAATACCAACCTTGTTAACAAAGTTGACGATGGCAGTAGCCGGTTGTTCGGGTTCGAGTTCTGCGAACACGTGGCACTGGTTGTCCTGCCCTGATGCGGAACGAGCCACGAATGCGAATATCCGTCTAGAACAAACAGGGCAATATGGGGGCTTATGCTAATTCTTTTAGTTGAAAAATGTTCATTTTTAACAGACTTCAAAAAAGGAGATGGTTCTCTGACTGTATGTTTTTTTTATGTTTGTTACCTCATAACTTTTTGATTAGGAGCGATTTTGATGATTCTTTTTTTAATAGAAAGCTGACGCTTCCCGTGTGGTCCCGTTACAATTAATTCCAGTTCTGATAATGGTGTTTCCATGAGAAAACCATATATTTGCATTAAGTACATGCGCGAAAAATAGATGAATAAATCAATATCACACCAACCGATTTCGATGATTATTGTTTTTTGTGTATATTAATTTGCTATTGGAATATCCTTTTTTTAATCTATTTGAAGTCGGTTTTTGTTAAACCATGTCTATTTACAATTATCTAAGCTGAGCGTAATGACTCCGTTGTATAAAGCAAGGAAGCCAGCATTGCGTGAACAAGAGTGTCAGTACAAGAAAGCGCTGGAAAGTGAGATTACTCGGATTTCTTTATGGTCGAGCTGGGGACAAGAGGAACGGTCTCATTTGCTTTCCAAAATATTTTGGTATCCTCAACGACGATTTGGCCTCTATGACAAGAACGCACAGTGCTTTATGCTTTGTCATTAATGACGACTGACCAGTGTGCTTAGTGCGAGTTTTTTAACGTTCTCGATAGCGTACAAGTTAGCTCGTATTTGTATGGAATAGGATCGTTTGCCTACATTTGCCGGTAGGGGCGCTGTGCACTAAGCACACAGGTTACGTTCTCAAATTGAGTTTTTTTTTTTTTTCCTACCTATGCTGATAGCCTTGAGAGGCTATTTCAGCGTAACCTAGCTTGTGTAGGTGAGCTCACGGGGCTCAAACCGGAGAATTGCTAACACCGCCCTAGCAAGAGCAGTGCTTCGCAGAATCTACCACCGGATCGGAAGCGCGACCCACTGAGAAGATCCGGCGAGAAACTCAGTGGGCTGTGTCTGTGGGTTTATTCACTCGTCGAGCCCTTCGTCGCAAGCGACGGGTTCGACGAGGACGGTGACCGGTGCTTGTATTGCCTAAAAGCACCGTTAATGGATCAGGAGGATCCGTGATGACGTGCTTTGGGCGACGTCGACGGTTTACCAATCTGTCTACAGGATCGGGTATGTAGTTTCCGGCGGCCACGACAAGAGGGTTCTCATGTCGTGCCGTCTTCTCAAAGTGGCGCATCAAATTGAGTCGTGTTTAAGTGCCCAGACTCAATATCGAAACGTGTTCAACTCCCACACATCATTTTTTATTCTTAACACGCTAGATGATCCTCTTGACCCATAAAATAAATCGTCTTCTCGCATTAAAACTGTATAATCTCAAAACTTACTAATTTTACAGGAGAGTGTTTTAAAGGTTTACTAGCATGTGATATTTTTAATATTAATCGTCTTTGCAACATTTATATTTTATTTTTTACCAGGTACATTATCTGTCTTTTAAAGTAAGATAAAATTATTTATTAATTTTGTTCATAGTAAAAAGTCAAAACATAGGTAAACTAAAAAAAAAACTAAAACTAAACTACGCTCTTTTGACAGTAATTATGAGAAAAATACTGGTAATACCAAATGATTCCGCATATTAAATCAATTTCGAATATTTTTGGAAATTTTACACTTTTAATGCGAAAGAAGAAAAGACGAAATGAGACCGAATCTTGGTTTTAGTTAGTGTGAGTATTATAACGTCTTACTTTTCGGTTTGCGTAGCGTTGTCTACGTGTGTGTACCGGCGCTCGTCGGGATCCAGTCCTGCATACGAGACGGCGGCGGCGGGGTAGTGGCGCCTGAAGAACAGTTTGCGCGCCGAGTCCGTAAGCGTGATGCCGCCGCCGAACACCTTCAAGTGGACCACGTGACCCGCGCCCTAGAACATCACACACTCGTACAACTCAACAGCACTAGAAAGATAAACAATTCTATTGTTTTTTCTCCTACCGACGCCGAAAGCTCGGTTTTCGTCCCGCTGTACAGGGAAGAAAGTGTAACTTTTTCGTCCCTGGGTACTGACAAGTGCGCATGCGCGTTAGTGTCTACGTCTGCTCTCACGCACTTACTATATTCTATTGTTACATGCTTCAAACAATATGTCGGATATCCATGTCCTAATTGTTCAATTTAAACATATTAAATTATATTATTGTATTTCATATATTTGTGGGACCGTTTTTAAATAAAAACTCTGTCTAAATAGGTAATCTAAAACTTAAAGTTTCCCTATTAAATTTAGAATTAAAAAACGAAACTTCAAAGAGTTTGATAAACAATAGCGTTTTCTATAACACCTCTTTTTTAAATATAACGAATGGAAGGGATAATTTTAAAAACGTACATGACATATACAAAGTCCTTTTGCCTGTAACTAGTTTTACGCAGAAAAAAAAAGTTTTCTTGTAATTTTGTAACTTGAAGTACCTACATAATCTTAAATTGTGGGTGCAAATTTATTATTTTGTTCATATCTTAACCCCTTAATTTCATTTTGGTTACTGAAAGCAGATAGTTTAACGGTTTCATTTCGGAAACGTTGTGCCAAATGGAAGACATACCTTCCTCTGCAGTACATTTCCGACGGCTCTCTTGACGGCCGCCGGTCCCGTTAGAGCTTCTGTGTTCTCGGAGCCTAGTAGCAGCACGTGGCACGCGGCGCCGGTCGCCAGTAGGGCGCGTGCTGCCGCGTTGGGGGTGCCGTCTGACCATGGATCCCTGGTGCAACAGTATCGTTCGTGTATTACACAACTTTAATTGTTTTATTGAAATTTGGGAGTCCACGATCTCACGGCCTGCTCACTCGGCTACCGGTGCACATATGCGTGAAACAGTATTTAGCGGCAAAGCCATATTATACTAATGCAGACAAACTCGTCTCGTTTGAATGTAGCTGGACTAATGGCGAAAACGATCACTAACATACTCGTATTTGAAAATTGTGTGTGTGTGGGTGTGAATCCGAGTTTATGCGTGTGTGCGTTAAGATACAAAAACGCTACTGGATCTTCTGTTGTTTTCAGCTCACTGAGTTTCTCGCCGGATCTTCTCAGTGAGTCGCGTTTCCGATCCAGTGGTAGATTCTGCGAAGCACTCCCCTTGCTAGGGCCAGTGTTAGTAACACCTCCTGGTTTGAGCCCCGAGAGCTCACTTACATGCTAAGATAACGCTGATATAGCCTCTCAAGGCTATCGGCGTAGGCAGGGAAAAATTTGTTGTTTCAGTAAATTACCGATTACTATGATTATCATTGAAAATTGTTAGAAGTGAGATAGGATAGAAGATTTTTATTGGTGGTAGGACCTCTTGTAAGTCCGCGCGGGTAGGTACCACCGCCCTGCCTATTTCTGCCGTTAAGCAGCAGTTTCGGTTTGAAGGTTAGGGCAGCCGCTGTAACTGTACTGAGATCTTAGAACTAATATCTCAAGTTGGGTGGCGCATTTACGTTGTCTATGGGCTCCAGTAACCACTTAACACCAGGTGGGCTATGAGCTCGTCCACCCATCTAAGCAATAAAAAAAAGGCCAATACCAATGATTAGATGTCGGTTTAAATGCTAGAAAAAATAAAATAAGCTACCTATCGGGCAAGCGCAGTGGCACGGGCAGCGCGAGTGGTGTGACAGAGTGCTGGTACACGAGTGCGGAGAGCGAGCTGAAGACTGGCTCGTCGGGCGATCCGCGCAGGCGCACCCCGCGCGGAGCCGTCTCCACTAGGAAGTGACGCACGCCGCCCCCCGCGCGCACTGCCACACCAAACGCGCCCGGGAACGAGTTCGAGTCCCGCACGATGAAAGAACCCTCCTCTAGCTGCTGGAGCGCTGCCACCGCTAGATAACCCCAAAAATATCTACATATTAATACGTGAAGCAAAAAATTTGTACGCCTTTTTATGAAAATGTGTTTATTGTTATTGTTTAAAGTCTGTGGTCAAATTGAGAATAGATTAATATTGTTTTCTTTTTTTCTTATTTATTGCCTTTGTAGGCAGACGAGCATACGGCCCAACTGATGGTAAGTGGTGGTTTGTCTTGGCGAAATCTGTGATTATAGAAGTATAATAATAGTCTTTGACAATAGAACCGAAATAAAGTTCAAATTTATAATTTTAATTAATTATTGTCGCATTTCGAATACTGGGGGACCACTAGTAATTTTAATTATTCGATGTTAACTGCATGAAATTAACTTTTGAACACACTATATTAAATATATATTTTTTTATTACTTTAATGGGCAAACCATCAAACCAAGCGCTTGGTATTAAGTCCTTCTCGAATCATATAGATATCACAGAAACTTCTTCCACATATCTCAACGCTGGCGGCGGCATTCACGAGTTCATTCACCCGTCTATGTAACAAGCAATTGTTTCTGACGCTAGTTCACAGACACAGCTCACTGAGTTTCTCAGTGGATCTTCTTAGTGGGTCGCGATTCCGTTTCAGTGGTAGATTCATTGAACCACTACTGTTGTTAGGGCATATGTTAGCAAAGTCTCCCAGGCTGAGACCCGTGTGCTCGCATACAGATCCGGTCAAGCCATAATAACTTCTCAAGGTTACTGGCAGTAAGTTTAAAAAAAGAATACTGATCGCATTATTTTTTCTATAATTATTTTCAAAGATCGATCCGTAACATAGTATAGGAGCGAGCGATGCTCACCATCGTCCCTGGAGATGTTGGGTTTGTACCAGTAGTGGCTGGTGTCCCTCGCGAACCGCACGCGGTCCGGCGCCACGTGGTGCGGCTCGCTCACGCTGGAGCGGCGCGAGTGCGACCCCACGCTGCCGTTGTACGTGCGGTATTCGGACTCCGGACTGCCTTCCCGCTCTTTCCTAATAAAACATACAAACATTCATATTTTACTAGTGGTCCGCCAGTAGTCGAAATTCGACTATATAATCAATTGAAATTACAAGTTTAAACATTACATATATAACATAAAGGAGACTTTTTTTTCCTACCTATGTTAATAGGCTCGAGAGGCTATTTCAGCTTTACCCTAACGTGTAGGTGAGCTAACACCTGCTAACACTGACCCTAGCAAGAGCAGTGCTTCGCAGAATCTACCGCCGGATCGGAAACGCGACCCACTGAGAAGATCCGGCGCGAAACTCAGTGGGCTTTGTCTATAGGTTAATTCGCTCGTCGAGCCCTTCGTCGCAAGCGACGGGTTTGACGAGGACGGTGATCGCAAGCGACGGGTTCGACGAGGACGGTGATTAAAGAGACAATAAATATTAATCTATTCTCAATTTGACCACATATTTTAACAATAAACAAAAGAATATATAAGCTCTGCAGCATACGCAGTAAAGAAAATTAGAATGTTAACAAATGCGGACACGGCTCGTTTAGTTTACTTTAGTTACTTCCACAGTGTCATGTCCTATGGCATTTTGCTATGGGGCAACGCGGCCGATGTAGAAATGATATTTATTCTGCAGAAAAGAGCTATACGTGCTATTTATAACATGCACTCAAGGGAATCCCTGAAGGAAAAATTTAAAGAAATTAAAGTTCTCACTATGCCATCCCAGTATATCTTTGAAAATTTGATGTATGTTCGTAAACATATTAGGAGTTTCCTAAAATGTCGGACATACATAATAGAAATACTAGGAACAAACACAAGCTTGTTGTGCCGATGAGTAGGTTACATATGATACGAAATTCATTCGGGTGTTTGTCTGTGCGCCTGTACAACAAAATCCCACAAGATGTTCAGAACCTACATATACATAGGTTTAAGAAAACTATTAAAAACATCTGTGCAATAAAGCTAACTATAAAGTCAATGATTATCTAGAAGATTGCACAAAGTAGGAATGAGTTGCTCGCTCCGGGCATTTCAATATTGTAAAATTGTTATGTTATAATTACTTATTGTAAAAATGAATATTTAAAAAAATCTAATATTTAAAAAAATTATCTAATATTTAAAAAAAAAAAAAGACATGCCCGCTGAGTTTCTTGCCAATTCTTCTCAGGACGGAGGCTAATTCTTGTGAATTGGCGGTAGTTCTTTTGACGTTCAACAAGTATGTACTTTCATTTATGTTGAATAAAACTTTTTTGATTTGATTTGATTTGATTGCTCTACGTATTAATATATAGATTTCTAAATTAAGTTGTGATGAAACCTTGCCACGCTCTCGCTATAGAGATTCTTGCATAATATTTAAATACACTAATTTATTAAAATGTCAACAACAGCAGCTGTACAAAGTTTCCATGCAATAAATATTGTTAGTCAACTTAATCATTTTTAATCCAATGGGTTTTAGGTATTTTGGAATTTGGCCAGTTTGGGCGCTCTGATAAAAAATAATTGTTGAGTATTATTTAATCGAACTATAAGGAATTACTCTATCTTGCAACAAATATATAGTCATTACCATTTCTTACTATAATTGGATAAATGATTATCTAACGCATAAACAATTGTTTCATTAAAGTCTGTTTTCTACGTAATTAAAAATTAGTAGTATATTTTTTGATCTATCCAAGACCTCTGACTTGAAACATTCAAATCAAAATCAAAATCAAAAAAGTTTTATTCAACATAAATGAAAGTACATACTTGTTGAACGTCAAAAGAACTACCGCCAATTCACAAGAATTAGCCTCCGTCCTGAGAAGAATTGGCAAGAAACTCAGCGGGCATGTCTTTTTTTTTTATCATATTGATCAGAAGAGCGACAGATTTACGATATTAACCTTCTCGAACTGCTTTCTATTACTAATTTCTTCTGATTCCTATGCACTTGTAACATTTTCACAACATGTCACTTCATCTTTCCCCGAGTCCCTTCTGTCTAATACCAACTCAAGCCCAACCAATCCGAAGGAAGGTCAATTATCTAAGGAACAGCCGTTCGAGATAAGCGTATGAGGACATGAGGACACGTATATGAGGACAAGAAGAAGATGTAGTCGAAAATGTAATGTACTGTAAATTTACAAGTGGTAGGACCTCTTGTGATTCCACACGGGTAGGTAACACCACCCTGACCATTTCTGCCGTGAAGCAGTAATGCGTTTCGGTTTGAAGGGTGGGGCAGTCGTTGTAACTAACTATACTGAGACCTTAGGACTTATATCTCAAGGTGGGTGGCGTATTTACGTTGCAGATGTCTATGGGCTCCAGTAATCACTTAACACCAGGTGGGCTGTGAGCTCGTCCATCCATCTAAGCAATAAAAATATTAAAAAAATGTAAGTTGCACGTGTACCTGGCGACGGTGGGCGAGCGTGGTGGTCGCGCGCTCAGTGAAGGCGTAGGCGTGGGCGGGTAGGGGGTGCGCGGGTGTGTCGGGAACGCGGGGGTGCCGGCGCGGGAACTGCTCTCTCTGCGTTCCTGGAACACGCACAAACCAGACGTATTAACCATCCACTCGATCTTCTCTTCGACAGACAAGACAAACATTTAAACCAGCCTATATGGTTAAATGAGAAGGAAACAACTGATCTGGTATTCCGGAAAATGGAACGCTCTGGTTTCCGGAGCCTATAGACATCTATAACGTAAATGCCACCACGAGTTCTAAGGTGAGACCTTAGAACTTATATCTCAAGGTGGGTGGCGCATTTACCTCGTAGATGTCTATAGGCTCCAGTAACCACTTAATACCAGGCGGGCTGTGAGTTCGTCAACCCATCTAAAAAAAAGGTCTCAGTATAGTTACAACGGCTGCCCCACCCTTCAAACCGAAACGCATTACTGTTTCACGGCAAAAACAGGCAGGGTGGTGGTACCTACCCGTGCGGACTCACAAGAGGTCCTATCACCAGTAAATAGATACCAGAGCTAGCTGTTTTAACGACCACTCAAAGTAAATCTTTGTGCGGTCATATTTATCGGCTTCTGTTGCTAGTTCACACCAGGGGTTAGGCATGAACTCGTCTGTCCATTAACGAAGGATAAAATATGATGAATTACCGCGCGCTTAATATTATTGCTTTATTAAGTGTAGTTGTTGTTAACTTACAATAGTATCGGTATTAGAGTGCTCCGCAAGTGACAATAGACCGGGCGCGGTGGTGTTCGTCGGTGTTGTGGAAGAACTCCATTCGCGCATTGTCATCTTTTCATACATGAACTTTCTAGATGAGGTCCTGCCGGGAAAAATTAACGTCTATACAGATTGAACTCAAACACAACATATCAGGGCATTAATTTGTATTCACCTGTCGGGAGCCTGTGGGCTGATGCTGTCCGTTCTGTGAGGTGTGCGCGTATTCACGTGTAAGGGAACACTGAAGTCGTCATCGTCATCAGCGAAGGCCGTCGTGTCGCTCGTGTATCCATCGACCCTACAGTTATAGTTATCTATATATTAATACGTGAAGCAAAAACTTTGTATCCCTTTTTACGAAAATTGCGCGGACGGAGGAGTATGAAATTTTCCACAATTATTGAGAATATACAATGCATAAAAGATACATTAAATCGATAAAGAAAACATTACACACATTACCATGTATTTGACACACACACGCATGCATAATATTTGTTTATTGTCAAACTTTCGTTATTCTTTAAAGTCTGTGGTCAAATTGACAATAGATTAATATTATGTGTCTTTTTTAATATTTGTCTAAAGTGTAATCTTGGTGAAATCTCGAAGTGTAATATTCTTTGACAATAGAATCATATTAATGTACAAACTTATAATTTCAATTAATTATAGTCGATTTTCGACTACCAAGGGACCACTAGTTAATGTTAAAACGTAAGGAGATATTAACAAATTAATTGAAGAAATGCGAAGGAGCTATACCGATGACTAGCTGATCGCCGCACATGCCGGGAAGTCGCAGTATCCCACTCGAGCGGTAGTCGAGCGACTCTTTCCCTTGCCTCTTTCTTTTCTCGAAGCCTTTGTTGTTGTCGTTGAAGCCAGGTGAGTCCGGAGTTCGGTTCGACGCTTCCCTCGGATCTCCGCGGCTCCCGAACTCGTGTACTCTCGTGCCATCCAATAGTACTGTTCGAACGCCGCGTTCCATTTTCCGGTATAGCTTTTCTTGCGTTAGTTGGCGTTCGTTCTGTCCACTCCGCCTCACCATTCAACCATCTATTGAATAATAAATCTTTAGTTTTACAGAATAATAACATATACGGTTCATTTTTTTTATAAGATCGCGTTCAATTCTGTGCGTAGGAGATGCGTGTTTTGAAGACAGCCTGTTATGGCAATGTCAACGATATAATCATAAATAATGCACGACCGTAAATATTATCTAGCCGGTGTGGAATTTATGTTAATTACTAGTAGTCTTCCGTTGAGGTCAGAATGTATTAATTTGGTGTTTAATAACATCGATTACATTAAATGCTAATGCACTATAACTTGTGAAGCGTTTTTCTTTTTAAATTTTTTAGGAAATTATTGAACTTATTTGTAAAGCAAAGAATCGTCATGAGAGCGAACAAAGCTACTTCTGTTAGAAAGTAAGTCAAACATATGCGGTTAGGGACAGCAAGAGGCGTCACTGAGACGTGGCCCGGTCGAGAGTCACCGTTTATGGCCACATTTATCTCGAAATAGTAACTTGTTTGGGTCATGGCGGCGACGCAATCACACGCCATCGCTCCAAATCAATCCCCAGAAGTACTGGTTAGTGTCGCCTTCAAATGTCAGCGATAAACGTTACTACATATTATGTTTGTACAAAGGTACAGAATATGATCCTTATAAGGAAGTGTATCCCAATACTGATAGACTTTCTAATATGGAGAATGTCTGTAAGCTATCTGTATATTTAGACCTTTAATAGTCTTGAGTCTTGAATATGTGCGCGACCTTGCATGAAAAAATCATGTTTTTATACTTAGATGCATGAACGATGTCATAGACAGACTTTTTGGCATTATGTGTGAGTAAAGGCGCAATGGACATGGCCATTTTCGGCCCAGCTACTCGTGCTCTCAAGGACACGAATGAAATATCTATAGAAATAAACATTTTATTTTTACATACTTATTATATTTAAGGGTATTTTAATGGTGGGATAATTAAAAACATAAATAAAAAGAAATTAGCATGACTAAGCTACATTGATAATATTGAAGGAGTTGCCATAGGTAAAATATATTTATATTTTAAACAATTCACAATAAATCTTCTTAAAAAAGACATTATATTGCAAAAAACTAGCATATTTAATTAATGGATTTTAAAACTAATATAAAACAAAAATCTATTTTTATACTTTTAAATAAGTAGAATAAATCATTATATTGATCAATAATTATTGACCTTAAGCAAAAAAAAACTACGCTCGTTTAATGTTTTTTGACGTTTTACATTTGATCAGTCGTTTTCGCACTCGTGCGCATTGTGGATATTATTAAGTGTTTCGTTGCGATATACCTGTTTTTATATTTTGTTGTGCATAAAATTAAGTCTTGGCGTTCATTGAATTAGGTCTGTGTTATAAAGTATAGTAATATAAAAAATATTTAAGCTGATGATGATGTTAAAGTGTAAGTGTATTGACAGCAAATCATATGATATAGGTAACCTAAAAATCTTATCTTATTTTTTAAATATCTCTGTATCCCCATGAACAATATTGATTTTAATTTGTTTATAATAAAAGGGATATATAGTCTGTTATTTAAACTTAATTTCATTACTGTCCTTGAACTTCGTTTAGTGGGCCGTGCAATGTATGGAGAGTGGCCCATGTCCTTTGCCTATAAATTTTTTCAGGTGTCGTTTTATTATCATATATTGTCCTTGATCGTGCAAAACGTTTATGAATACGTCCGAAGTACATATTACGTTAGAAAATAAAATGAATCAAAATATTGATGATTAAAAAAATACAAAATACACGTTTTAATGTTAAGGAGGGCTTAGAGAACTCCAACTTTTCTGCAGTAATAAAAAAAAATACAATTTAAATATACATATATAGTTAATATTTGTGTTTTAATTCAAAAAAGTCATCAAAATTAAAACGGTCTCATTTGTGGTATGAAATTAAATACGATCAGTCTAGCATTGATGAGCACTTTGGAAGCTGCTAATAACTATTTTGAATGCTACATACAGGCAGTTGTACTATCAGAAGGAGATAGCAACAGATAGATAAACCACGTGCGTTGGTTAATTTAGCGGAACGACCGGATAGGTTAGGTTTTGTTTTGTTTGCACGCTACTATACTAAAGATCTTATATTCGTATGTAGAACGGTATGTCTAAACATTACGAGTGACGCCGATGTATTTTATGTTATTGACAGCTTTAAGCCTCTGACAGATACCAAAGTGACTAGCTTTTCATTTAAGTGCTCCAATTACAATGCATCAAACTTGATTGACTGACACACGTATATTGATAACATTCCATTTATCTGTCGATCAACAGAGCGAGATCACCCACATAAACGGCGACATGTGGCATTGTTTACATTATGAATGAATCACCGTCCTTACATCATTATATGTAACGTTTTCAAAAAAAAAATATCCAAATCCTACTCAACATCTGGAGTTGAAAACGATACATGCTCGATTGGAATTTAAATAAGAGCGACCTTCGTTAGTATAATATATTATCTTATTAAAAATACGATTCTGAACGTTATCGTTGGAATTCGACGACTGTTCACATTATTACTTTTATTTATTTATTTTTTATTGCTAAGATGGGTGGACGAGCTCACAGCCCACCTGGTGTTAAGTGGTTACTGGAGTCCATAAACATCTACAACGTAAATGCGCCACCCACCTTGAGATACAAGTTCTAAAGTCTCAGTATAGTTACAACGGCTGCCCCACCCTTCAAACCGAAACGCATTACTGCTTCACGGCAGAAATAGGCAGGGCGGTGGTACCTATCCGCGCGGACTCACAAGTGGTCCTACCACCAGTAATTACGCAAATTATAATTTTCTGCAAAGGAAGAGCGTTGTGCTTTATTTACGATTATAGTCACAACATGCTGATCATGGTCTTGTTTGTGTAAGCACTCTTACATATAATAAATAAATAAATAAATAAATAAATATTTACTAACAATCACGCCACGTTAACTGGTCCCGTGATAAGTTCGTAAAGAACTTGTGTTACAGGTACCAGATAACGGAAATAAATGTAAGATTTTTATTATACAAATACATATATTTAATATAAATCCATAACCCTGGAAAAGACATTTATATTTATCATACAAATATCCTCCCTTGGCGGGATTCGAACCCGCGACCCCCTTGTGTAGTGACCATGTCACTTACCACTACACCAGACGGACGTTAATAATGATGACGTATAATGATAATCTTTTGTTCTTTCATACTCTTTTTATAGTTTGTACAAGGTCATCAACAGAGGTCGCGATATCTGAGTAACTAGATACATAAATAGAGGTTAGAATGTGTTACAGATAGTATGAGGTGTATGATAATCATCAAAGTTGTTATGAAGAAATGGTTATTGGTTTTGGTTTAATATTGGTAAGGGTATTGGTATAGATTGTTGGTAATTTTGTGGTTCATCATGAAATTCTTTTGTTGAATTAAATTTATGATTTAAAATATCAATTATTTTGAATGACCACAAATGAAACTCAATTATTGAATGCCTTTGTTTAAGATCATAAAAACTAATTGGTATTCAGTGTTTTTTTTTTTATATAAGGAAATGTCGTAACCTTTTTTGTGTTAAAATTGTTTACAATTTATTCAATTAGTTACACCCACAAGATTCTTTGCTCCCACGTTAAACGACATAGAGATCAATTAAACAATAAAGCACAGTAAACGGTCATTTGTCCAATTTATGTTTTTTTTTACTTCTTCATAAATATCATATACAAAGTAACTACTGTTATTTCTAGGCATATAAACATCATTTCTACGTCTACATACATGCGTTCTATTATATTGATATACACATACATATATCTAACTTTAAAAATAAAGTTAAGATTTAAAAAACTATTGATTTTTTTTGTAGATATTTTTCGCGTTCACATTTAATTTTTTTTTTCTTTGGTCCCGTGATAAGTTCCTAAAGAACTTGTGTTACAGGTACCAGATAACGGAAATAAATGTAAGATTTTTATTATACACATACATATATTTAAGACACATCCATAGCCCTCGAAAAGACATTTATATTTATTATCATACAAATACCTTCCCTTGGCGGGATTCGAACCCGCGACCCCCTTTTGTAGTGACCATGTCACTTACCACTACACCAGACGGCCGTAATTATACATATTTGGTAGCACGTTCGTAAAGCCAAGATAAACTAAACTAAAGATGATAATGAACAGTCTACAGGTGAATTCGGGTGCATTTGTTTTTGGTTCGTATTTATGCTATCGGAACTGAAATAGATTTTGCTAAAACTTCGCAAAGTTCGAGAAGTTGTTTGTAGACGTATGTAAACAAGTATACCATGTACCTACATTTGTGGGCGGCGCGAGGTCTCGCCTACAGGAAGTACATAATATCGATAATATTGAAATAAGTCTAAGTTGATATCAAACTGTTTTCTAAATAGTCTTGTATCTTTTGATTTTGCTTAGCAAACACGGAAACTGCAATATATAAAATTATTTCACTCAAATCTAGACTAGAAATTAGATTCTAATAAGAACAGTAGGTCAGAATAATCACGATTCAGAGCCCTTAAAACATATCTTACGAGCCCAGTCTGTATGGGTCCATTAGGAGTAATTTAAAGATTCTGTTAGGTTTATTGGATCTACATGATCAGCACATCATACATTTACCGTGTTTGATAGTGATACTACAATTAAAAGTGAGTTTGAAAATTCAGTTCCGAAAACTCCGTTCCAGATTCCAATAAAAGTGTTTTAATGAATATCTAAGATATTTTATTTATGTGATTAATGTACGATGGTTTAAAAAAACACTTGATTGACTTATAGTTATCACAATGAACAACATTAATTACTCACCTGCCGTTCCGAGCGGGAGAGGAGGGCGGCGGTAAGGTCGCGGTGGTTGTAGTAGTGATGACATCCTCGTGCGTGAACTTTCGAAGCGTCAGCGGAGACAGAGGAGCTCTCGGCGATGGCTCCGGAGTGACGGTACGTTCGTCGTCATCATCCTCGATGGGCTGATAATTAGTATCAGATCCTAGGGCTCGCCTCACCAGGTCGGGGCTGGCGAGACGGTTGGAGGCACGCAGCATGCCAGGACGAAGGCCGGGCGCTCCGTAGGTGAAGGGCGCGGAGTCTGCGCGCGCGTGGTACGGTATGTCGGTCGGGCGGTCGGAGTGCGAGTGCGGTAGGTCCGGCAGCGCGCTCACCGTGCGCAGCATGTCGCCGAGCAGCGCGTCCAGCTCGTCGGGCGGGCTGGGCGCCGCACGCCGCCCCGCCGACGAAATGCCCGAGTCCATGGACGCGCTCAACGGGGGGGACGGACCGCCGCCTCCCCCTCGCACCACTCGCGCGTATATGGACCCGTCCAAAGGACCGAACGTGTGAGCACCCTCTGCGCTTTCTCCCGCTTCGCCGCCAGATCCTGATCCCTCGGCGCTGCCGTTGTTCTCACCTATATCAAAGTTCCAAATTATAAAGATACCTACTCAAACGCTTACGATTGACTTCCACGGTGAAGGAATAACATCGTGTAATAAAAATGAAACCATGAAACCGGCAAAATTATAATTTGCGTAATTATTGGTGGTAGAACCTCTTGTGAGTCCGCACGGGTAGGTACCACCACCCCGCCTATTTCTGCCGTGAAGCAGCGATGCGTTTCGGTTTGAAGGGTGGGGCAGCCGTTGTAACTATACTTGAGACCTTAGAACTTATATCTCAAGTATTTACGTTGTGGATGTCTATAAGCTCCAGTAACCACTTAATACCAAGTGGGCTGTGAGCTCGTCCACTCATCTAAGCAATAATAATAATAATAATGCTTTTAACACAACTCAAATACTGATTGAACCAATAAAGCACTAAAGTACAGTGTACAGCGACAGTGATTTAATTAAAAACAAATGTGATGTTAAATTGAGTTCGATCCGCTCTAATAACCCGCAGGAGCTTTGACGTTACGGCGATGGAACGTGAAATATATTATGTAGTACAAAACGTATAATATGTTCGTTTATAATCTATATATAAGCAAAAACTTTGTACCCGTTTTTTACGAAAATTGCCCGGACGGAAGAGTATGAAATTTCCCACACTTATAGAGAATATAGAGAAGAAGTGCAGGATGTTAATATTTTTTTTTAATTATGCATAAAAGCACATTAAATCAATAAAAAAAGCATTACACACACTACCGTGTATTTGACACAACACATACATAAAAATATACTCTTTGTTTACTGTCAATTGGGAAACTTTTGTTATTGTTTAAAGTCTATGGTCGAATTAAAAATAGATTAATATTGTTTGTCTTTAATATTACTCTCTATAGTGCAGTTTCGGCGAATACTGTGATTATGTTATCGAATTATAATAGTGTTTAACAATAGAACCATAATAATGTTTAAACTTATAATTTCAATTAATTATAGTCGAATTTTGACTACTGCGGGGCCACTATACTTTTAAAATCAGTTTGAAGTTTTAAAACGAACAAATGTTACACAAATGCGTTCATTAAAATTTGTAAATGAATGACTATATGATTATTTGAATTAGAACACTATGAAACCGCATATTGAAGAAACACGTACACATGTGTTTATACTGTTTATACAGCTAATGCAGTTACGTTGGGATCTAGGTTGTCTGGGTGCATCCTAAAAAGGCATAGTTTCCCTTCCCGTTATCTGTCACGAAGTGAATACCGTAATCTGATGGAATATCTCAGTTATCTTGATTATAGGTTTTGATTCTTAACAAACATTGACCAATAAAAACACCATTGCAGTATTCTACAATACTATGTTAAATAAGGCCGTCAGCGCAAAAGTGACCTAGCCCACAATTTTTTTTATTTTCGTGCTTATAATTATATTGCAATTTATTTAAAACGTAGGTAATAAATGTTGATACAAAAGCTAACTAGACCCATAGATAACAGATGACTTTTTAAACATTATTTTTGCGCATATTATTTTTACCTACGAAGCAGTGTAAAGGTAAATTCAGACCTCATTATCTCCACATTATGATAGGCTTAGGCCACCTTTGCGCTGACAGCCTCAAATGTTAACTTCTATTCCCAACCGTTAATGAAAATTACTAACAATCCAAACGATTTTTATCAAAGTTAAATTTGTTAAAAATACAATTTGTTACATCATTCCATGAATGTTTGGCGCTGATGAAATTACAGCGTTCGACTTTCACAGGCGATCGCATCGGGAACGCATGCGATGTTGTCAATAACGCAATTAGTGTAAAGATATCAACGTCAGCGACTGTTTGTCGTACAGTAAGGGACGTGTGGTTATTTTTGTGATGTCAACGAAAATAACGTCGGGCGAGGGACTAGTGTTACGAAACGTGCAGGTGTCGGCGGCCGCGGCAGGAAGAGGATGTGCGCCCCAGCGTCCCGCATCAATCCAACACATCACACCCACCGCACAAACTTCAACATAAACAATAACATTGTTAATTGTTGTTTTTCTAATCAACATTATTTGAGGTTTCTCTCCAATTATTGCACATTTAAATGCATTCCAGCTGTTATGTCATATTAAAATGAGCGCGTAAACTCAAAATTTTGATAGTACATAATTATAATGGAATTTATAGAACCGTATGTTTCATATTTTTTAATAAGCCATAGGGATCAAGTCATTAAGTCAATTATGTTAATTTGATTTGTCTCACATCTTCGTTACTGGCTGCCTGCCTAATCACTGATGTCAACTTTCCATGGGACATATAGAAATTGGATTGGTTAAAAAAAAATTGCTAATTATTTTTCTCTAAGATGAAAAAAAACAACTTGACATATTTTTTTTCTCATAAAAGCTTAGTAAACTATGGCTATTAGAAACGGGATGAAAACTTGAGAGATTGCATCGCATTTTTTTCAGCAGGGTTTTTTCTTCATTATTTGTTTTTCAAGCGGATAACATATATGTTCTATGTGGCTTACGTATCTCTCTGAGGAGCATATTCATACTTGAATCCTTTCATTAGCTGGCTCCAGGGAGAATGTGCACTCAATAGTGAAAAGAATTGGAGTTCAAGCTTCGTCATTAAAATTTTCGTAATCCCGCGCAAAGTTTAACTGGGGCTATGGCATGTGCATGGCATGAAAAGCGGGAGTGAGAGTCTTAAAGAGTGCCGATTTCAGTCTTCTCTCAGTTGTTAGACTGAATGTTGAACACGTCGAATTCTTGGAACATTGTTCTTATCCCAGCATTCGGTCTCCTTATGATTCTTGACAACTAAACTGCTAGGTTGCTCACAGATTTTGATACTCATAATGCCCATTTGTTGTGTAGATGTGCCCAGATTAAATTAAGGTAACACCACTCGCAACTTAAGTAGTTTTTAAGCATTTTTAAACGTTTACATCACACTTATGATGTAGTGATTTTAGAAAATAATATCACAACATTGTTATAATGTAAATGCCCTAGTTGGCTTAGATTTGTTCTTTCTAAGTACCTAAGAACATTTTTGTCAAACAATAACGATTATTAGCTTATATCAGCACAGCTTTACTGCTACGTCACAGTATTCTAAATTTGAAATCGTACAGCTTAAATCTGTATAAAGAGGCATTTCTTCAGCAATAGATCTCTTTCGGCTGGTTCAATCGTGAAATATACTGAAGGATTCTCAAAAGCTTCAAGCTTGGGTGATTGATGGCTTTAATAATCAAGAACAGCGTAGCAAGAGTTGATTCGTTGACTTCATTAACAAAGCAAAATGAGCGTGACCGAAAGACAGGATATGTCATAATATCACAGGTACACACGTTTTGCTTGGAAACAAAATAAAACCGTTTCTGAACATAAACAAGCACATCTGCGGTCGTAATAATGTGTTTATTATAGGATTTTTTATAAGTTTCTTTAAACAAAATTATGTTAAATGAAATTTAAGACGTTTTCGATTTATAATAACTAATATATACTATTTTCAGACAAACATCAAGCATTGTTTTTTTTTTTTAAATTACGTATATTAATCTTTACATATACGAATGAAATGTATAAGAATATGCATAATTGGTTTCGAAATAATAAAAAAAACCTAATTGGAGATCCCGAAGATTTTGAAATGTTCTCGAAACCATTTGCTTTTTAATTAGATTTGTTAACGAGAAACAAAATGGTTTCTCGATGGTCGTTCTTGTATTAGTGAAAAGGTGTGTGTGTGTGTGTGTGTGTGTGTGTGTGTGGTGGCAGCAAGCCGGGGCCGCTCTGATGTCATCGCGCCCGCTCTACCTCATGTTTCGCAGAAACTAAGCCACAAATTATTATTCAACACTGCTAGTTTGGCTATCGTTAAACTAAATTCGCATACGCAACCAGTTTTGGTCTTTTATCGTTTTAAAGAAATTCGGTTTTAGTTCTTTTTTAAAACTCGTTTGGGTGGTTATTAAAGTTACCTTCATTCCAAAGCAGCAAGTTGCAAAGTGGAGTGTGTTTTCTTTTTTTAAATCCACTTTAAGATAAAGTTGTTTACGATTTTATTAGCTTATAATTTAGGTTCAAACTAGAGGACACGAATGCACGTCTGTAACGGACATGACCGGCGTGTTGACTGTCCATCACTAATGAAAGCTCGGAGTTAGCCTCGATAAAGTTACACCGAATGAAGTCACACTGCAGATGCAAGTTTGCACGCACAGCTCATATCTGATAACGGCTTTTGCAGACCCACTTCATTGAATGATTTTGAAAAATATATTTCATGCTTTATATAATTTTTTTCCCCCGCTTAATCGTAGTAGTCTGAGGTGCTATTCCAATTTCACGCAAGCCAGTAGGTGAGCTCACGGGCTCAACCTTAAAGAATAGCTAACATTATAGTATTTCACTGAATCTACCACCGGATCGGAATCGCGACCCACTGAGAAGACCCGCCGAGAAACTCAGTGGGTTGTGTCTAGTGGTGGGGTAGTTCGCACGTCGTTGTCGATATTTTCGACGAGTAGGTCTACAGTGACATAATAATAGTCATGTTACCATATGAATGTATTTAATAGACATAAAATCGTCATGTTGACGACAGGACCGCCGATTTGATATTGATAACATTTAAACAATCTGATGATCGTTAAATTGAATTTGAGTTGACAGTGTTTCCAACAAGCGTAATTAATTGATCGTGGTGAGTCCGATGCGACCGCATCTCAAGTTATGTCTGGATGACGTCATTGTAAACATGCCTTGCGTGTGAAACCGCGAGCACATAACAATATATTTATTATACACAAGACCCTTATCGGACCACAGAGGAATGTTGTACGGTTTCGTGGCCTGAGATAATCTTACTACGGAAAAATATATTAATTTTAAAATATAGTGAGCATTTCAATAGAGAATATTATTAATTAGCATTTATTCGTTATAGTACCTTATTAAATGTGCCTTATTGGATTAAATGAAAAAAATCACAAAT